AATTACCAAATTTTCTGGACAAAATCAGCAACCTTGAGAGGTGACACTTAGATTGGAATTTGGAGCATGAGACATGAGTGGGTTAGAAAAAGAAATTGAGATATCATGTTATATACAGTTAAAATGCAACAAAAAAAGTTGATCATTTTTTTTTTTTTATAAGGATAATGGTTAAAAAGTTAGTATGAATTAGTTGTTAGCAACTGGAGATTTGATTTTTAAACTAGATGAATATTCCATCCCTCAAATAAGACGCACGGTCATCAGACTATTTTTTAGTGAAGTTCACGACGGTGGTAGAATTCAAAATTTTGATCGTCGCACCCAATCACTTAAAATTTGAGGTCGAACTATTGAAACTAAAGACTTTGTTCAATTGTTCACTTAATTCCAAAGGTTATGTTCATAATACCCGTCATTTTCTTGAATTTAGCTCGATCTTCTAGTACGCTGCTATACCTGCAACTTCACATTTTATATTTGTTTTATACAATAAAATATAGTTTTTTTTTATTATTTTATTCTCTTCACTTTATTAATATTTAAATGTAATGCTTTTAATGTAAAACTTTAAAGTTTTAACCACTAGTTATGGTAAAAGGTTATTATCATCTTTTATTTTGTTAAGTTTACCTATTGTATCTATAATTTTATTAATTTATAAATTTTTAAATAATTAGTTAAATATTTTAAATATTTATTTATAAATTAATTTTAATTTATTAAATAATAAATATTAATTATTTTATTAATTATAAATTATTTTTAATAGTTAAATTTAAATAAAAATTTAAAAGCTGGGGTAGTCTTATCCTACCGCCTCCCTAACACACTATAATTTCACATTTTACACATCAAAAGAAACAAGAAAATCGAACTTTTCTTCTGAATAATGATTTCTCCATGATACTGTTTCTAATCCCCAGTAGCTTTAATGGTTCATCCTGCAATTTCCGCAACAAAGTGCCAAACTCGTGCTGCCCCACTGCCCAAGGCCATAGGTTCCTCAACCCCACCACCCCACCTCTTTTGTTTGCTTTTATTGCCTCCGAGACCCCCACCACCATCTCACCCCTTTTATTTTGACATAGAAAAAGCATCAACCCTATGCTCAAAGGCTGTTGAGAACCATTATTCTTCCTCGAATCCGTTCCATCTTCATCAATGTCGGTAAACTCACCCTGCTTCTTGTTCTTCTTCCTCCTCCTTTTCACTGTTTTTTTCCCGCTTTCTTCTACTCTTCCCAACTCAGACCCTTTAACAGCCCAACCGCTTCCCATTACCCAAGTACCACCGGCAACAATACCCGCATTTCCAGAGCAGTCAAATGTTGCCGGCTGCCCACTAGACTTGCCGGATGAACTATTCCGGGGGATAAAAGACGCATGTGGTGCCACCAAAGCCGGGGAGCTCCGGCCCAGCCGGTGCTGCCCTGTTCTCGCGGCGTGGCTTTATTCAGCCTACTCAGCCACTGCCCTCGGCAGGGCGAGCAGAGTGACTCCAGCTGTGGCGGGTCGGGGCCCGTCGTACGATTTACCGCTACTTCCGGATGACTCGGAAACCTGCGTCGATGATCTGGGGAAGGCATTGAGGCAAAAAGGGATAGAGCTTGCCCGGCCAAACGAGACGTGCGATTTGGTGTACTGTTACTGCGGCATTCGTCTGCATCCATTAACATGCCCGGAGGCGTTTTCGGTGAACCAGAAGGGGAAACTCGTCGGAAATGAAAGCGTGAAGAGATTGGAGAGAGATTGCTTAAGCAGCAGCACCAATGTGAATGGATTTCCGGGTCTCGGTGGCTGCAATAAGTGCTTGAAAAGTCTTCATCGGGTATGTTTCTTCGCCAATTGTTTCCTTGTTTGTTTCTCTGTTTTTGGGTTTGTTTCGATCTGGTTTGTTCTTCACTGGGAATTAAAAAATAAAGAAGATCTGGTTAGGGTTTCTGCTCTGTAATTTGGGAAAGTTGGTCTGATTTTGCCTTCGCGTAGTTAACTTTTTTTTTATTTCTTATGCTTCATGTTACCAAATATCTAATGCGGATTGGCTAATGAACTGGTGGTCCAGGGTTAATTATCTTCTTTTGGAAGGTAAGTTTGGTAACAACTTAATAAGGTAGAGGTGTTAGGTTCAATTCTTATAACGTGCCTGTGGACCTGTGGTCGAGGCACTGAATTGAATCCGAGTGTCACAAGTCATGCACTAGCGGATGTGAATGTGCCCCTAAGATCATTGAATTTGTTTTAAAGTAGGCAAAAATTACTCTGAGACACATTTATTTTCAAAATAATAATACTAATAAATAATAATAACAAGAGAGGCTACCTTCATTAGAATTTTTTGATAAGGCTAATAATAATGAGTTATACAAGAGAATAGCTCTTTCTTTTTTTAAATTCCTTTTTTTTCAAAAAATTCCTCTCTATGTGACTTAGAATTTGAATTTGAGATTTTTAACTTGAAATTTTTGAGTTTTTAATTATTCACCCACCCAATGGTGCCACCTCCATTGGATAAGTCACCGTAAATGTCATCTCTATTGTGAATGGTAAACAAAGGTTTTAGTTCACGTCAGACTCTAATTCATGCGTGGTAGGGCGAGTGTGGATTTCTTTATGAATTAGTGGTTTGCTGTCACCTTCACCGTTAATAACTGTACTGTAGTGTAGTTGGCGTGATCAGCATCAGTGAAACTGGAAGTCCTCATTCTGCAAATTCCTTTTATTTTATTTTTATTTCCCACTTTTGTTGGATTTTATAGGTGGAACAATCAATATTAACCAATCAACTGAAAACCTGGTTACTTTCTCAATTATAAATTGATTTTAGATTAGATATTTATTTGTAATTTGAGCCTTCTTGCATTTCTAACATTATGCATTGTCATCCTCTCCCTTTTAATGTATTTTTCTCCAATTTAATTTTGTGCTTTACTTCTCGTGATGTTCTCTCTCTTTATTTGGAGGGGAGACAAAGGAATTTATGATAGGCTTTTCTATCATACTTCTTTGGTACCTCCAATGGTTTTAAACTTTCAATGTATACTTGGTTTAGTCAACATCTCAATTAATCTTCCTTTATTTATTTATTATTATTATTATTTTTTTAAGTACACGTAGTTCCTCTCGTGTCTTCAGTTATTGTTCTGAATTTTATATTAATGATAATTTAAAACCTTTACTTATATCTAGCCTTATTACTATGTTTTAGTCAAGAGATTATCTAATGGGGAAAGGCTTAGGTCCCATTCTTCTTGACACACGATTGACTTGATAGGCAACTGGCTTGTTTCCAGTCCTTGTGACAAGGTTCATTTCATGGAAGGCAATGGAATGGAAAAATTTTGGAGTGGATTTAGTTTGGCACACTTAAGTTAGTCCTGTTACTTTCAATTCCGTGATTCTGCTAATTGTTTAATTGAACTTTTCAGTGCTTAACTAAGCGTCCAACACAGAGAGACAAGATTTTTTGGCAAAATAAATCAATCTTTAATTTAGTGTTTGTTGGTTGGATTGTTTTTAGGCAGAACTCCAAATCTGCCCCTTCAATAGAAGGGTAAGTTAGATCCACCCTAAAAAAAATATAGAGGGACAAATTACTCGTTCAAATTATAAATTGAGACAAATAACCTATTATTTTTAATATGATATCGTCACATATTAGAAATCCATTTACTACCTAAGCATGTTTTTAATGAAAAGCTAATGTGTAATGATGTCTCATGTTAAATAATAAGTGATTTGTGTTGATCGATAGTTTGAAAGGGTAATTTGTCCTTATATTATTTTTAAGGGTGGATCTATTCCTATCCTCTTATTTGAAGGGCAAATTTAGGGTTTCAACTTATTTCTATGCAGTTGTGAAATTGTTGGTACCATTATATTCCCACTGGGAAGTAAACTATAAGAATTAATTAATTGATTTGATGTTGCACCAACTTGTTGGTTTTTTAAAACTCTATGCGTTCACCAAATTAAACATGCCTTTGTCCCACCACTAACCTATTCTTTCTTGATTCTCTAACAGTCATAATTTTTTTCAGCTTAACCGAAGGAATGCTTTGAATTCAAGCAAATCAGATGAGAGGACCACGAAAATGCGGAAGAAAGATTGCCAGCTGATGGGTCTCACATGGCTTCTTTCAAAGAATCGCACAGCATACATTCACACTGTGTCCGCAGTTCTACGAGCTATTATGATGAACAAGGACAACTCTGATCCTACCTCATGCACTCTTAGTAGCGATGGAATGCCCTTAGCTGTTGATTCTTCTCAAATCTCAAGCCAGTCTTCATCAATCACCCTTCAAGTATCCATATATCCCCTAGTTTTATCACTTTGCTTCTTACTCATGGTCCTCAATGTTTCGCTGCTACGGTTTTAGTTCTATTTGTTCTTTGTGGAGAAGTATTTGTACATCCTATGTCGAATCAGCCGGGAGGAGCTTAAGATGCTTGCAGTGTTCAAGGTTAGCCAAGAAATATCGGTAGAGCCGGATTTAATGTTAGCTAGGTAGGTGTCCTGTTCCGCCGCGGGCATTTAGGGATGTGTAGATGGAGATGGACACGACATGGTCATTG